CAGCTGGTCATCGGTAGAATGCTCAGGATTGGTCCTCTAGGTACCACAGCTTTCCCATTCCGAGAAAAATTATCATGAAAGCTCAGCAGGTAACCGGTAATGATGTTTAGTTTGCTCATATACTTATAAGCGAAAACGTATAGGTCTAGTTATGGTCGCACTTCGAATGTATAGGCATGGGTCGCAATTTTTGTAGTAAGGGCATTTTTCATATCGAAGACTATTTATGCTGTGTGGGAAAGTGGGTACAACTTTGTTCTAGAGGTATTCCTGGATATAAATTCCCTTCAAGAAAGTAGGCAGACAAATTAACTTCATTGTGACTGTAAATGGACTAGTGTTCTTGAAGAGGGATGGAATGCGGAAGTGTCTTACCGTCGATTTCCACGGCAAACGGGCGGATTGATGCCTACAATCGATACGCATGTTTTCCATAGTCGTGGTGTGTTTTTACGCCAAGTGTAGAATCAGTTTGCCTGGATTCAGTGCTTCCTATAGCCGTTGTCATGGATAAATAACGAAAGCAGAGTAGTGGAACGAATCTGAATAAAATTGCAGTAAAACCATGAATGTAATATTTCAGCATGATAAGGGTAAATTATATAAAAAAGCAATAAAAAATAAAATAAAATTTAGGTAAGAAAGTAAAGGGTCTAAGATAATCGAATTGAAGCCTTTGGGAAAATTGAAGCGTCGCTTCGGATTCACTTAAAAATCCCTTTTTTCTTCAGCTTCGCTTTTCAGCTCCTTCAAAGTACTTTGCTCTCGTTTACACATGCTTTGATAAAAAGAGAACTGTTTATGTAACGCAATGGTTCCCTGCCTGCAAGTCTTGCTCGGCTGCTCCAAATCCACCTATTTTTTCCAATTTTTCATTTCTTTCTTCTGTTCGTTAGCCTCTTGATGTTCTTTCAACTGTTTTACTTTCACTTCTGAACTACTTGCGGATTTTGTAATGTAGGCGGATTTTTGAGGGTGAAGGCAATAGACCTACGTATGTCCCCAAGATTACTGCTTTGCATCACAGAATACTTTTTAACTATGTATTTCAGTTATTCTATTCTAGTTTTTGATTTTCTTGCGAAATATCTGGGACACACATATTGTTTATGTATTCTACATATTATGCAATTATTTCTTCGTTTTTGCGTGCTTTTCTAACCACCTTACTCATTTTCTTTCATTTTCATTTTCGTTTTCTGCGTGCACCCTCTAGTATACATACTACCCCGCTGCTAAAGAACCTGCACCATGTTCGCTGTTCATTTTTCTATTTTTATATCCTATAACTTTTATAAATGTCATCTCTTATGTCTCTATTTATTTATCTGTTTACTTGCTTACTTACTTTACTTCATTTGATTTTTGTATGTTGGCGTTCGCACTTTTTGGTTAGACAATGCTATGACTTCTAACAGACCGGAACTATCATCAGAACTCCGTTCCTAGGACATTTATGTTATTTTTAAATCTAAATCCAACCTTTATCGCTATTGATACCTAGTAATTACGAATTACCAATCAGACAGCATCGGGCTAGCTAGTTTTAAACCTTCAGTTGCGTAAGTCAGGGTGAGGGTAAGCCGGTTTTGACCGGCCTATGGAAACGAGAGCCTACGTCAATGATATGAGCTCTGGAAGAGCCTCTACTTACTCAATAGGCAGGACCGAAAGGATGAATATTCTTTGGGTGAAGTTTGATGCAGGGTTCTGGGTAGGGTGTTGTCATTCTTGACCCCTTTCCATCCTGACCTAATGAGAGATGATTTCCGAAGCCGAGTAATAGTTACTGTTCAGGCCGATGACGTACATATCGTTTTTCAATGGAGAACGATGATACTAGACACTTGATTCCCTTTGAAATCATCTGGAAATTTCGATTTCGCAACCTCTCGAGTGAGCTTGCAGTGAAAAGCCTCTTTTCTGGCTTCCTGACTGTTCTCAGCGCTCTTCCGTCTTTCTGTTTGCTCTGGACGGATAGAGTTGTTCGCGTGGGGATGGGACTGCAATGTCGGCACTGGTTCGTCGTCGTTTTCTTTTTGCCGTTTGACTCATTCGCTACCGTGTCTGAGAGCTCAAATATCTTATGAAACCTTCACCTACCTCCACACCAAGTCCCATCAATAATTTTATCCCAAGTCTTCAGAAGTTAGGGTCTCTTAAGGCTTCAACTTTTGATTTCCATTTCAAACGCAACTTCTTCTGGAATGATCTCTAACCGTATGGAAGCCTTAGTCGAAAAGATTTACCCTCATACTGGAGTTACTAGAAAATGTTTTCAATATAGTTGTCCGAATATTGCCAAACAGCCGGCAATTAGCGAAGGTCTCTATTACTTATTAGCCATGTGTCTGAACGATGGTGACTGAATGAGAACATGAACCCATTCTCTCAATCTTTGAATCTTAGTAGCTGTGCTCTTCAGGGATCCGAAGTAGGAGTAGTGTGGCTCCAGCCATGTTCTTCTGGTGGCAGCGGATATACGCCAGCGCCTTAGCGCCTCTCCTCATGCATGTTCCTATGATCGATCCTTAAACAATTGGAAGCCCAGATCCAACAAGTCTTCCATCTCCAAGGTCGGGCAGTTGACACCAGGTTTGCCAAAGAAGTTAAGATGCTAACTGGTAAATCAGCTGGCCTAGGCGAATCAGTGCATGGGCCACATACCCATTCAAACGCCATTGCAATTCTTCGCGGATGTTGAATGCGTGTCTCGAAATGGGAGGAACGAAAAACTCTATCGCTTTTTGTCCTGTATTCCTTCACTTTTGCAGCTGTTTCGAGGAAAACGGGTTGTAGAGGGCTTAAAGTAAAGGCTAATCAACAAGCGTTATATCAGCGTGAGCTAATGACTTTCGTATTCCTTTCGGCAGGTGCTCTGATTATTTACACAGTCCATGGCAATACCAATTACAACAAATGCCTGCCAAATAATCCAAAAGATTTCGCAATAAATGTAAAAATATAAATAAACATGTTCAATAATTGAGTGTGAGGTTGTAGAAACTTAACGTTCAATACTGCCGTTTTGTCCATCCTGCCGTGAACGAGCTGATATCTTGATTTGCTTTACATAAATAAAAAATTGTCCATAGCCCATTCGGCTCAGTTTGAAAGGCTATATCTGGAATTTTCGAGAGGGAGAGATCTGATTTTCCCTTTTGATCTTCGAGTCAAGCCAAATATTTTGTTTGTCAAGCTTGAAATTCTTGCAAGCGCTTCACAAGAATGCTTCGGACCTTCTGAAACTCAACGAATTATAGGCTGACTGCCTTTTCCGATTTGCGAGATCGTATGCCATTGGCAGGATATGTTTTGTTACTCGGAATTTTTGATTGTTTCCAACACTGGATACCAAGGGTATTAACAGAGCGGAGGGACCCGTTCATGAGATACAAAAAAATAAGTATCGAAATATCTTTAGGATCCAATTATGTGGAAGGTAGCTCAACTATAGAGATACCAAACATTTTTTTAACAGTTTCGGTTGTAATTTTATAAGTTCAAAAAAAATTCTACTTTTTCACTTTTTTGTCAACTTTTTCTCTGAATAATACTCGCAAAGAAACCTTATATGATGGCAAACAAACTAATGGGATCATCCTTTTTTCTTTTTCGATACAATAACTATGTTGAAAAGAAAAACGTGTCACTGGAATACCAGCACCCTTTGTAAGCAGTTTCCTGAGAGGTAAGCATGTGTATGTAAATAAACAACATAGTCATGAAGAAGAAGCTGTTCGAGCCGGACCGGACCGTTTTTTCTGCGGGTGACGACATTTTGACAGCGCTGAAATGTTATGTAAATTAGTAGTTGTCATGGTTCGTCGTGATATTTCACCTTACGACGACTCATCTGGTCCAGGGCATCTCCCTGTCTCACTACAGTCTTGCTCAGTCATTATCAAAGCTCAACTTTTTGGGCAATTTCACGATTTTCTGTTCTGAATAGTGTTTCGGCAACGTCGGTTTCTCCGGTGCCTGGTACGTCTGTTTTTCTGAGGCGTCCAGAAGTCTGCACTCGTCCCCTATTCAGGATCTGTTGTGGCAATCCCTCTGTTCTAGGGTGACCATAGTTCATGGCTAATCCCCTTATCTGCTGGTTGGACTTTTCTTATGGCATCCTGCTTTGCTCTTGTAGCTGGTCATAGCTTTTTAGCGAAGGTGTTGACATTCTTGTCCCTTTCAAGGTTTTAGTTGGAATTTTCTGAATATTCCAATAACTCATTTACAAAAAGTGAGAGCTTCTTTTCCCGTTAAGAAGGGCGTCATTGGAAATGATCACTTTGAAACTTTAGGCGACAAGAAATGTTAAATTACAACTCACAAAAGTCTCGTCTTGTGCTGGAATGTGGTTGATATGATTTTTTCGATGTTTTTGAAGAAATTAATCATACGGTAAAATTATAAGTATTCATTCTATATGGTATTGTATGGTAACGTATGGTATGGTACAGTGTTTCTGTGAACTTGAATTTTTTTTTCAAAAAAAAATTGAAAAATTGCCTGAATCCTATCAAAGTCGAAGCCATGTGATCTTCTTATACTGTCAACATTGAGGTAGCGACAAACGACTCGCTCTAGAGCATGAAATCATCCACTGATCCGCTAATTGTCTGATACTATACCATACTACATACTTATTCTGAAGTAGGGCTACACCTGTCCGGCGGAAGTTAGGGAGGAGAGGATACCATCAGCATGCCAGAGCTCATCATTTTGTCGTGACGTCGTCCTGCTTCATTCCCTTCGCATTGCTCGATATTTGTTATGGGCAAGTATGGTCTGCAGTGCTCGAATTAAGTCGACTCCGCCCATTTGTCAAGAGCGGGGATACCTGAATCTGAGCCTTTTTTGAGCCTTATTTTCCCAGTGAAAACGTTGTATATCGATACAACGTAAGCAGAATTTTTCCTAATGAATAATCCTCGAAACCAATCTGATCGTGAAAGTATCTTGAAAAATTTCACAGCATTGACTACATCATTTAAATTTTTAGAATGATGCCATCTGTAAACGATGCAGATGCTCCATGCGCATCTACAGAAGAGGATCTGCCTGGCTATGTTCGATCGAAGAAACCCAACTCATCCATGATATGTTCGTCATCGTCAATCCGACAACGACGTGATCTGCTTACCTACCTCGTAGTGATTTTTCTTATCGGAGAATTGGTGGCTGTAGGTGAGTTAGTTGTTTATGGCTTCACTATTGCTTTCTGAAATTTGAGAAAGGTTATAGACCAAATAGGGAGATATTGAGCATGGGTGCAGGTGAACTTCTCCATTTGAATTTCTAATTTTCAAACTTTTGAGATGAAAAAAAATCAATAGCATGAAGCAACAACAAGTACCAGTCCTTGCTGTTTTAGGAATTAAATTAGTACGAAATTCTGTAGTATGCCATATCCGTTTGTTCTTGAATGTAGACCGTGCATGACTTGAAAATTTTGGCAATTTTCTTCATTACTCCAACGCCAATGACGATTTTCATACTTTTATATGTACATTTTGCTTTATTTTACTAAAAAATGATTCTCATTCTTTTGGTTCTGAACTTTAGGAAGGTTTCGTTGCCCTCTGTTTTTCGAATCGAAACTTCTATGGATCCAGTGCAGTGGTGAATTGTCACAACAACCTGAAGTAGCCTGTGATTCCTCCCATCCTACTTTTTACTCGAAGAACAATTAGAATATAAAAAAA